CCTCAAGTTGCGTCAGGGTAAGTTTAGATTGGATATTCGGAGGAAGTTCTTTACTGAACGAGTGGTGAGGCACTCGAACAGGCTGGCCAGGGAGGTGGTGGAGTCACCAACCCTGGAGGTGTTTAAAAAAAAAGTAGATCTAGCACTTGAGGCTATGGTGTAGTGGTTAGGTATGCTGGGATGAAGGTTGGACTAGATGATCTTCAGAGGTCCCTTCCAACCCCGAACATTCTGTGATTCTGTGATTCTGCAGCACCTGGCTTATGCTGAAGGTCTCTTTGCTCCTGGACCCATTCAAGAAATAAGCTAAAGCCCCTTTAGCTTCTCCTTCCACATGTCCTAAACCTGGTACTTAGTGACACAGAACAGATCCTCACCCCCATCTTTGTGTGAAAGCTCCCTGGAGAAAAAGGAAGATAGCTCTAAGTGGTTTCCCAGCAAAACAATCTCCACAACATCAAAATTATTTTCACAATAGCCCAGGCGTGATAAACACTGTGTTGTTGTGTTTATGTACCTGTAACAGTTTGTGGCAAGGTTTGACTTCTGAAATGTTTTGCAATTGCTCCTTCTCAGTATTTGTATAGCCCAGGGGCCATTCAGCATCTCTTCAGAGAAGGAGCTTTGGAAGGGGCTTTCGTTCAAGAGACATAGTCGTCTTGGAGTATACGGAGAATTATTAGCAGTTACTTTGCTCAAGACAACCTGGGACTGTAGGAGCAGGCCAGCAACTTGACCAAGCGAAGCTCTTCTGTGCAGTGTCAGATCACTCTGTTATCGGAGGAAGCTGGTCACAGCCCAGTGGTGTCATCCATGTGTGGTTAACTCTCCTGAAACTCCCTGACAAAAATGCTCTGAGAACGTCCCTTCTCTGCTCCCTGCAAAAGGCCAGTTCCATCTTACAGTGCCCATTACTTCCTCTGCGTTTCTCTGTCCGGTTTTAGGTAGCTCTGGAGAGGACCGACATGTAGAAATCTGTTTGGTGACTGCAAAACCACTTGTCCTATGTTACAGGTGAACTGGTATTGCCCACCTAGAGGTGGCTTGTTGGAAAAGGTCAGGAAAGCAGTGTAACTGCTGATCCACTGGCAGCAGGTACCTAGAGTCACAGGCCAGAATGAAAACCACAGTTCAGTGGTCTGTGGAGAGACCCAAATGTCGGAGCAGGAGCTGGGAGCTCTTGGTGAAACTCAGCACATAGAGCTGCCCACCGGGCTGCAGGAAACGTGGGGTGGGCCTGGGACATGCTGCTGATGGCCATCTCCAACCTATTAACAGTAAGAAAGGCTGGGACGCTCACAGTGCCAGCCCCCTACATTTTACGCCAGCACCTGAATAATTCTGGCTGGTTGTGTCAGATGACGTATGCTGGAGTTTCTCAAAAATTTTTTAAGTATTCAGAGTCCTAGTTTTGTTAATTTTCCATTTCAGTGGAAATAGAGTGATCTGAGGATATTCACACTGAAGCCATCCACTGCAATTTTCACAATCTGCTTTGAAGGAATAGTAGGATTGTGGAGAAGTCATTACCATTGGTATTTATTTTCTCATTCTAGTACATCAAAACGTTTTTTCAGCAGCCCAGATCACATTTTTGACAGCATGGCCAAATTTACGATTGATGCTTGATCCTACTGTTGCTCTAAGGGATCTTTTGTTTGTTTGTTTGTTTTTTACAGGATTCACCCATTATCTCTGTTGTCTTCCTAGCAAATCACTATTGTGATGCTTCACTCTAAGGCCACAAAACTATCTGTGTCCTTGACATGACCCAGACACCCACATCCTCTATGAAAAGGATTTTAATTTTATGCCAGCAATAAAAATTGATCACTGGAAAAATTGTAATTTGAGACCTCATAATTACCAGGCTCATTATTTTCCAGTGCCAGCATTCTGCAGGTGTTCTGAATGATGACACAGACACAAACCATTACTTCTTTACTGAAACAAGAGGCTCCTCTTAGCATGTGGCCTCTTGTGCCCCAATTGTGCAAGAGTCACAGATCATTAGGGTTGTGTAGCTGTAGAGGTGAAAGCCTTACTTAATCTACATCACCCTTCACTTTTTGATTTGGTCCATTTGGTGCTGCTGCAGACACATTTCTAACGGGAAAAGATGAGACGACCTGAGGACAGATGCTATCAGTAACTGATAATTCCTTCAGATCTGTATAGGGAGATAGGAAATCTAAAACCTGAGACTGAGGTAGACCCAACTGATGGGGGCTGCCCAGACCTGACTTCAGGGAATTAAGACTTGCTCTTCTTTTTGAGGCCAAAATTCTTATCATCTGGTAAAACTCGTAGAATCACTAGTCATAAAATCTTCAATACTCTTCCAGGCATGTGCATTCAAAGGAAATGTTGGACAGTTCTTATGAACAGTTGTTTCCATAATTAAAATATTTTTCTTAAGAGAGTTAGCTTGCAACTTCTTACTTATAAGCTAGACACATAAATGGCAAATTCTTACATACAGTGCACAAATGCCCTAAAGTACCAGCACTGAGCAAACAAAACTAATTCAAATGAAGAAGGCTTGTATTTTTAATACACACAACCCATTCCTGAGGGCTTGATCAAATAAACTACAGTGACTGAGATAAGGGACAGACATTAATGAAACTGTGACACTCTGGCTTTCAGTATGACTTAAAAGATGCAGATATTTAGAGACTGTTAAATCACTGCTTTGGACCCTTTCTGACACAGTCATTGTTGCAGATGCAGTTTCAAATTTCTATGTAAAATGTTTCCTGGGTCTGCTGGGTGTCTGATGGAAAAGACAGCAGGGTAAATTCCCTTGAAATTCATAGCATAGCGGTTCCCAAGGTTTTCAGATTAACAAAACATCCACATTTCTTACTGCTAGGATCATCACGTATCAGGGATGAAATGTTTAATTTAGAATAACATGTAGTATAACTCTCTAGACTTCTCAAGGCCATGGAGTCCTCAGATGGCAATGACCTGCCGATCTCTTATTAACTATGCTGTGATTTTCCTAGAAACATACATTAAAGATGAGGAAAGGTGAAAATACTTAAAATTTACTCTCTCCAGCCATAATACAAGTAGATGTAATTGGAATGTACCTGGCAAATGCAGTTACTAAGCCACTCTCCACATATGAAAAATCATGGTGGTCAGGCCGTCAGGCAGCCAGTGACTGGAAAAAGGGAAACATCACCCCATTTTCAAAAAAGGTAAAAAGGGGGACCCTGGGAACTACTGAACAGCCAGTCTCATCTCTGTGTCCAATAAGGTCATGGAACAGATCCTCCTGAAAGCTATGTCAAAGCATATGGATGGGAAGGAGGTAGATTTCCAAAACTACAGTCCTTGCTAGAGGAGCGTGAGAGGAGAAGAAAGTCACCCTTTCATCAATTCACCTTCTAGCATGAAAACTGCACTGTTATCAAATCTGTGGATGTTATTCCTCCTCTCTCCTGACTATTCCTGGTGAACTGATTTGGCAAAGGAGGAATACAGATATTAATCTACCATTTTTATGGAGAACTACAGTGATGTTAATAAATTGTGTGCTGAATATGTATTGCCAGAGTGAGCACCTGAGGCCAGACAGCTCCCCAAATTTCCAGAGCAGCAACAGAGATAGCATTTCAAAGGCTGACAATGTCCATCACACAATAGGGCACCAAGTTGTTTCTAGGTGTAACAGGGATCAAGACATTGGAACTTAAAACACTCCCATCACCTTCCTTCACGTTATTTTAGCAGCTAAAAATAGAAGAAATGACTGCATTCATTATACTCTATGAAAACCAGAATGTCAGCTTTCCAAATGGGATGAAGTACTCAGTTCAGGTGTTCCTGATACAACAGCCACTACGATCATGTCACAACAGACGTGAATGAGATGGTTTTAAGTGAGTAAGGTGACTTTCAAAGCTTGTGTTCATCCACAGGGTTAATTCTTTTCCCATTGCTATTACTGCTCTCTTCAGTGTCTGGGAACAACCACCAGAAAGGAGCAGTACCAGCAGCACAGAATGAAGATCTTTAGCTGCCCTCTCTCACTGAGACCTTCCCCTTTTTGCTTTTTTAAAACAAAAAGACCATTCACTACGCAGAGATGTCTGGTGGTGCTGGAAGAAGAGCACCAGGAAGACTAGAACACTGCTTATGATATGATGGAGTAGATATTTTAGCTTGAAGCTATACAGAGTCATAGCTCAGCTGCAAAGAAATGCAACTGTACGAAAACAAATCACAGTTGGGGATGAGGGGAAAAAAACACATCATGCTCTCATCACAATAAAAGCTACTTTGATCCACTTTCAAAACAATACATCAATCCCACCTGCAACTCTCATCATACAATGAAAAGAACTAAATATATTGAACAAACCAACCCATAATTATATCTCTCTCTGTTCAGCCCTTGCCAAAGTTAACACCTCATCAGTCCTTTTCTATAGTGTCTGACAGGATGTAGTTTTTCCTTCTCAGTTTAGGGCCCAATCAGCTGGAGGCAGTCTGCAGCTGTAAGAACAAGGCCTCTTCTCAGCATGGGAATGATACAGAAAAGGCTCTAGGTATGGAGACAATTTTGGTCCAGAGAACTGAGGAGACAGAGAGAGAGAGAGACATATGCACACAGGCCTCTCTCTGCATGTGAGACAGGGCAAGAGGCACAAAGGCAGCCTCGCTTGTTGTTCAGGGCTGCAGGGACAGTAGGGACGTGGCTGCCTTCCAGCGCAGAATGGAGGGCACTGGAAAACAGGGTTGCCAAAGAGAGCCTTGGCCTCATTTTCCTGGCAGACTCCCAGAGTCTCTGAGATCGAGTGCTGTTCATGGGAGTCTGTCTTTTACAAAAGCCTCTGCTCCCCCAATGAAAAAAACAATTGAAAGAGAGTCCGTGGCTGATGGCTGCAAAGGTTCACGGAGGCTTGTCTTCCTTGTTGCTCTGTATCTTTTCCACTGCAGCCATCTCATGGTATCCAGCCCATCAACATGACATGTCCACAAGAACTTCAAACCACAAGGGACATCCTTGTTGGGAAATCATTCTGAGAGGGAACAGAGAAGAGACATGTCAGCAAGAAAGCACTCACAGACCAGACAGAAATGCAGACACAACTTTGGCAGAGACATGGCCAAACAGCAACAGCTTTTTCTATTCACATCCCCTTCCCCTCTCACACATGCCACTCAAGCACAGGCCACAGCCAAGCTGCTCTAGTGACAAAGTCTCCCTCATGCAGCAGACTTCATCCAGCTCCCCTTTCCCAAAAACCATGAAGTCATCAGTCCTCACTAGCTTGGACGGTGGCAGGGTGCTTTGCATTTGCTGGTATACTGCACGAGGAATGCCTTTGGCATGCATGGCCCCAACACATGTCCATGGGTACGCACCCACAGGAGTCTGTCATCTCACCCCTTTCAAAAGGTCTACACTACAGGGGTCTTACAGGTCTTACAGTACACCTTGCTACTAGCCCTGCCCCTGTCTGGAAGAAAAGAGCCTCTCAACCCTTCCTCAATGAGTATCTAGGCCAAAGCAATGCCCTGTAATTTCTGTAAGTCCTGGCTAAGTTCTCTTCCCTATCGCTATGGTCCAAAAGCACAGATAAACTCCCACTTCCTTGGACCATGCCACAGATGCCAAAATCATCACTTCCTTCCCCAGTCCGCAGACATATCTGTCTCTTCCCTCTACCGTGAAGTCCTGTGTAGGAGATATTTCCCTTCCTGGCCTCCTACAACCACAGTGACACCCCTTATCTGGGGTCCCCCACACTCAGACTCCAGGAGAGCCCCTTTGCCTGTAAACTCTGACTGTAACCCCTGCCTGGTAGCTCCCTGCTGAGGCTATTTGGATCAGGAACACCAGAGAGGGCCTCACCGTTTTCTTGGGGTCCTTCTTCCTCTTCTTGTCAGAGGCGTTGAGGTAGGCCTGCTCCCTGGCCCTGTATGAAGGTCCTCGGCTCAGCTCCCTCTCACTGTAGGGGGGCAGGGTGTCCTCCTCTTCCTCCTGCTGAGGCGGTGGCTGCTGCGTCTGCTGCTGCGACTTCTCTGCTTTGTAAGTGGAGGGTGGTGACCAGGCGTAGTACGTTCCCCCTCCTCTCTGGCTGGGCTGCGAGCTCAGCTTTGAGGGGGTTTCACAATGGTCACTGCTCTCATCGTAGCTCCGGGATTTCCTCTCCAAGACGCTGCTGAGGTAGGAGTGATCGTATTTCTGACTCCCTCCGGGTGTCCGGCTCACCAACCTGGGCAGGTGCTTCTCCTCATGGGCCCGTCTCCGGGGTGGGCTGTATGACCAGCCCCGATCCGAGTCCGTCAGCGGCTCTCGGTTCCCTCTGCTGCGCTTGGTGTAGTACTCCTCCATGGAGCTATCCTGGTGGGGCAGCCCTCCGCTGCGGCCACCATGCGACTCTGACCGCTCGAAACGCCGTGTTTCCTGGCTGTCTGCCCGCCGGGTCCGCTGGCTGTAGGACTCTGCAAAAGCTGCCAGCTCGTCCATAGAAACGGCCGGCACTCCCACAGAGAAACTCTTACGGGACAACATCTCAGACTTGGATCTCTGCTGGCTGCAGGAGGGAAGAGCTTGCGTTAAAGAGGGCCGGATTTGGCTGCGCTCATCCCCTCGGCTGCTTTCATAGACAATGGAGGGAAACAGGCACTCCTGGGGCATGAATCGTCTAACCTGTTTTCATCATCTTCTGTAGGAAGAGATGTACCACATCCTCAAAATCCCTGCTGCTCTCTGCTGACTGTAAAGGTGGCTTAGTGGAGATAGCTCGGACTCTACATGTCAAATATTACCCCGGATTAACCCCACAGCACACCTCCCTTGTCCTCCAGTATGCAGGGCTGGACTTGCTTCAACTTGGCACCAAAACTTGTAGGTGTATGTCCTGCTGGGAAAACCCAAGAACCTAGCTACAGAAGCTCACAGAAGAGCAATGTGGAAGCAGGTTTAGAGCAAACTGCCATTCATGGCTTTCAGGAGACTGGGCTGCTGGTATATGAGGATGTGCTATTTCTCTTCTAGCAACCAGAGAGACAGTTCTTTAGGCCTGAAGTACAGGTCTGGCTGCACCGAAGCACCAGAGTGTGACTCTAGTATAAACTGCACCAGCACTGGGAAGTGCCAGAGGGACCAGGTACAAATCTCAAGAGAGGACTTTGGGAAGGGAGGCTTGGATTCCTACTGAACTCCCTTTTACACCCCCCTGCGAAAGGGGGCTGGTACTTAGCTTTGCCCAGCTCGGTAGGCTTTGCGTAGGTAGGCTTTGCGTAGGATTGTGGGAATCAGATTCACTCCAACCTCACCTAACGACATCTACCAGCTACTTAGCACTCTCTAACGCCTCTGTCCTGCTAAGCAGAACCAGAGCAGCAGGAAATGGCAAAGAGCCAGCAGTCCACCTGTTCCTTCTCCTTTATTTTATTACTTTGCCAGATACAGCTTCCTCCCAACATGGCTCTTCTCACCTGTGCCGGAAACTGTCCCGCTCATCTCTATAATCAGAGACAGCCTGGGATCTTGATGTGCTGCCCGAGCCAATCACTCCTGCCCAGTATTCGGCATCACTGTCCAGGTCCCCTGCAGGAGGCAGAGGTTTCCTTCGCGCCTGGCGGTAGGGCTGCCGGTAGTTCAAGTCCTCTTCATGCAAAGAGCTGAGTTCAGAGATGGTGTTGTTATCTGCAGGGGAGGTTGCAGAAAACAAATGAGAGAGGCATCACCTGATAGCATGTGTGAGAGGACAGGAAGGCTGTGGTGAGCCCAGCTACAGCTTTTCCAGAAAGAAGCAGAGCTGCCCTCTGTTAGAAAAAAATCAAAAGGGAATCTAAGGTTCTTCTACAAACCCGTGACCAATCCTGTCCAAGATTCCTAGGCTCAGTTCAAAGAGCTGCTGTTAGACCTACAGGTCCTCTGAACTGGTAGCTGGCAGCCAGGTGGGATATTCTAAGGGTATCGCAAATGCCATCAGATGCCTTTGTTCCAGTTAACTGAGTTCAGCCTTCATGCAGAAATCATCCCTTCAGTAACACATGAGGTCTCCACCCTCATGAGGTGCGCGCTGAGCTTGGTGGAACATCGTCACAGCAGTTGTGCCTTTCCTGGTGTGAGACAGGCTGGCTCTGGATTTGGCCTGACTTGTCCAGCTAAAACAAAAACATCCCCCTCAAAAAAAGATTAAGAAAAAAGTAAGAGACTGAATCACTGTCAGTCTCTACCCCATCAAGCACACTGACATCTGGAGGCCTGACATACCAATGCAGAGAGGTCTTTTTATAGTAAATCTTGTGGGTGGAGAAGACAGTGTGCTCAGCAATGACTGTTTTAGAAGTATATATAATTTGTTAGTTATGCCTAATCTGCACAGAGCTTTGATGTGGTGTCATTCCCTAAAGCCCTTACTTTCACTGATTTGCAGGATCTCAGGCGTCTATTTTAAACAAGCCTTTCCCAGTGCCTAACATGGGTTAGCTCTGCACAAGTCGGATGCTGCCTGGAGGAATGGAGCCCCCAGCCTGCTGCCATCCTCCACACAGAACAGCTAGAGGACAAAGAGCAGCACCGCACGCCCTCCTCACGCAGGCACCTTGTCCTGCCACTGCACCTCCGCTGTCTGATGTGGAAAGATCCTCACTTGGGTTCGTATTCTGACACCCATTAAGTGCAGCTTCAGCCTTTATTTAGGGAAATAAAACTTATGAGAGGCTATTGGAAGACAGTGGGGAGTTCCACAGAGCAGCTCAGTTCCGAGTTCCCACCATGCCCCTACTCACCACCCTCCTCCCCTTCATCTGCAGTTGTCTGTCTGCCAAGATGTTAGTACTGATGCATGTACCACCTCTGATCTTATGTTCATCAGTGTCACAAAATCTGTCAAGTCCCTCGTAGTTTTTTTTTAATATTTCTTGTAGTCCTTGCTCCTTCTGAAAGGCAACCAGCACTCCGAACTACCTTTCTGCATCCTTCAAATCATGCTGTGGCCACTGCAACTCGCCAAACACACTTTCAATAAAATCATCCCTCTCTTATTTTGCCACGCTGGGAATTTACCGGCACCACACCATAAGACAGACAGGAATTGTGAAGGCAACACCTCAGCTATTATCACACCATGGGCTGTAGAAGGCATGATTACAGACTTGGCTTTTTAGATGCCGACAATCCAAAAGCTTAATTATCCAAATTTTCATGACCATTTGAATATTCCAGTCATGACAATTTTGATGACCATTTGAGTATTCCTCACTTTGTTTGCTCTACTTAAGGATGATTATGTATGCAGTGCATCTATAAAATCAGAACATTCCTGCAGATGCTACAATCTAGACTCTATCTGCCCCAAGTACCACGTCCTGGACATCATATCCTAGAGGCTGGCTCTAAGGCAGTGAAATTTTAACTACGGATTTTCAGTCTTTTTCAGATGAGTGGAAAAAAAAAAATCAAACCATGCTTGATCCTCACATCGTTCTCGCATCCTCCTAGATGGGTCAAACTGAGCCAGTTCTTTCTCGACATAGTAAAGCACCTTCATGGAGTCCCTCTCCTTGTCAGTCTGGATCCTGTACCCTTTACGCACTGCTAGGGAGAAAAGCATAGCATTAGAGGAAAATACACTTAAGTCCAAGGAGACTTTCTGACAATACTGCTTCTGTAGTTGAGCTCACGTCTCCAGGCAGGTCAGTTGTGTCTTCCAAAACAGTGTGACTCAGTCCTTGCTTCAGAAGAAATCTGTCTACACCGTGGGATGTGAAGTTGTGAGCAGCTGCATCATTTATAAAGCAAAAATGGTTTGGAAATGCCCAATCTGTACAACCAAATGCATCAAGTGGTGTCACTGCCACAAAGTGATTCCACCTCCCACAGAGGATGGCAGAGAGAAAAGCAGCGCTCATTTCCCCTTTCTCAGCACTCCAGAGAAGACTCGTCATGGTGAGGAAGAAGCAGTCCCAGAAGATCAGGCTTCCTCTGTGCAGCAGGGGCTGTAAGCTCCCAGCCTGCGGGGGACGCAGGTGGCTGAGCTGTCACGCTGCAGGACCACTCCACCCTCCTCCCAACCCTATGAATTCACAGAGGTTGAAGAGCACGTGGTAGGAGAAGCTCCAGAGAGTAAGAAGGCAAACACAGGAAGTCCCACAAAGCACATCATGATGCTTTGAGATTTATGGTGAAACCAATGATGGGGCCAATCAGGCCACTGGGTAGCCGCCTGCTCTGGTATTCTCTACATGCTTTATTTCACAAAAAAGGTATGTCTTACACATGTGCTAAGTGCTTGACTCCCAGGATTACTCCCTTTGCAGGGGAAACCTGGACACCTTTTTCGTGTTTTTTTTCCACATTCCCCTGTGTAGAACAGAAGCCCCTACACACAGCAGCTCCAACTCTTGATAGGCTGGCTCCGTGCACTCTTGCTAACCTTATGAACAGCCCAATTACCTCAAGGCAAGTCTATAGTCAGCAAGCAGAGAACTCCACCTATCAGGACTTTGAAGAAAATAAGGCTTTTATAGCAGATTATTTAAGAAAGGTCTCAGCCTAAGGCTAAGATTGACAGAAACACAGGTCTAAGTACAAAAAGGGACCTCAACCCTCAAATGCAGCCTCATTAGAGAACTGTTGCAAGGACAATTCGCTTCGCACTACAAAACAGAACGTGTCTTGCCTTGTGTGGAGTTAATCTGTTCCCTTGTGTGAAGCTGGAGTGTTGCAAGCGTGCTCCTTCTGTGGCACAATTTAAATACTTGGACTTCGACGGTGGGTTTGAGCCAACCTGTTCTTTGTTTTATGCCGCACCCCAATACATCAAGCTACCGACATATGGGTTTGGTAGTACGTTGCATCGTATGCACTGTGTGGGCTGAACAAGGACTTGGCAGAGGTATTCTTAGGCACCTTCTGTCCTAAACTGCTGTGCATGTCTCTGTGCATTATTAATAACCATGCTCTGCTTCAGAAACGGCTGCGCCATAGAAATGGACAGAATGATATCTGTAGCAATCCCGCAAATTGCTTCAGAAGAAAAAGTGCTTTACTGTGGGTTTTGACTGTGCACATGTAAGGTAAGTACCTACATCCTGAAATATTACCTTGTGTATCTGTACTTGGGAAAGGTATTAGATGTTACAACATACTGTGAGTCTTATCAGGGTCCTGCTTTCAATGTGTCTCCAGGTAGCTTAGCTGGAAGTGGTCTGGGATTTCCTGCGTCTTATTAGCCCCACGATTGTGTACACAATGACTGCAAACGCACACCGTGATTTACAGAACACAAGGAAAATTGCTGCCTCTGCCTTCCAAAGCGGAAGACTATCACGTCTCTTGAAGTGAGGCTGCTGCTCTGAAGAGGAGCTGGACGGACTGGGAGGTGGATTGTGAACTGGCTCAGAAACAGAGGTCAGAGGGTTGTGATCAGTGGCACAGAGTCAAATTGGAGATCTGTGGCCAGTGGTGTTCCCCAGGGATCAGTGCTGGGTCCAGTTTTGTTCAATATCTTCAGCAGCGACTTGGATGAGGGGATAGAGTGCACCCTCAGCAAGTTTGTTGACGATATGAAATGGAGAGGGGTGGCTGACACACCTGAATGAAGGCTGTGCTGCCAATGGGATCTGGACAGGCTGGAGAGCTGG